CTTTAGCGAGTTCCCACCACAGCCACGCACCATCTGTTTGAATCTTTCAGAGAAAAGGTTATTCCCCTTTTATTAGGTGTGACAGATTAATGTCTTTGAGGGCAGATCACTGTTGGGCTAAATCTTTATTTGGTTATGATTCCATTTAACTATAAAGCAGTCAGAAGGTTATGTGTTTTAAAAAGAAGTTTCTTGCAGTTTCCAACACTGAAGCTACCGGCGAAGTGCTTCTCTTTTCTCAAAAAGTAAATCAAAGCCACAGATGCACACGCACTCAGCCTTCTCACAGATACACCTACCTAAAGTAAAAACACATTACAAGACAATTGCTATAGATTCTGCAGCAAAACTGCTAAATTAACTTCCTGTGAATGCACACTTCACCTCACAGTGAATCCTTCCCCTTTGTTTGGTGCATGAGTGGGTGGCACTCCAAACATCTGGGGCAGAATTCAAAGCCTTCAGCTCCATCAGCACTTGTTTCTGCCTAACTGGTGTAAGAACCATGCCCACTCCTCAGCTAGAAGCAGCAAGATTCAGACATCTGTTGCAAAACCTCTACTTCAATCCTTGTTTGAACTAGACATTACACTTGGTTGATGAACTCCACCCTGCGGTTCTTGGGTCATTGCAGGAGCTGTGTATGAGGCAGAGGGGTGCTGATATTGCTGTAATATGATTTGAGTTTTCCTTTGGAGTGACTTTTTCTGAGGGGGAAAAAAAAACAGTTTCCTTGACATAGCAGGTGTTTTTTTCATAGAAAAATGTAATTCTAGACTTCTATTCATCTGTGGAATTAATAAACATGCTCTTTAACAGAAATATCACACTACTGGGTCTTCGCTAACTGAATGGGAATACCTCCTTATTCTGCTTTTCTTTAGCAAGTCTAAAAGGTTTGACTCAGAATCTGTTCAAAAACTTGTGCTGTATTCATAGCAGTGCACAGCTGCTCAGAGAGCAGTGGTCTGACAGACCCATCCTCTTCTGGACTCCAAGCCTTTGCCTTCCCACATGCCACTATGGCTGTCTCTGGAACCATGAGGCACCTCTGTGCTATGCAATTGCCTTCCATGGAGACTGAGCCGGAGGTGCAGGCAGGGTTATCAGGCTGTCAAACTGCAATGACAGTGAGGCTGTGCACAACGGTGGGAATAAAAACAGTTCAAGCATACTGACTCAGAATAAAATTTCTTAGGTCATGCCACCAAACCAAAATGAGCCAACGCTGGTTTCAGTGAAGTTAAAATATTCCATTTCAAATGGAGACAAATGCACTGAAGTTCATGAGTTCATGAATAGGTTTCTCCTTTTTTTTTTTTTTTTTTTTTTTTAAACTTGTGAAGTTCAATCTGCAATGAGTGTCTAATTTCAGTTTTCCTCCCTGATTTGGGATGAGAGCAAATGCTGAAATACCAGACTGAATTTCTTCCTGCCCAGGGAGAAGGCAGCTGATGCATATGAGCACCTATTTTCAGGGTTAGTACAGCTGACTCTGAAGATTTGCACATTGGAGCGGAGAAGGTAATGGTGAGCAGATAGATGATGGGGCGGGGGAGTGGGCAGACAGCAAGAGATGGGAATGAGAAGCTGCAACATGGGCTATAACAGAAGAGAAAGGAGAGAGCAAAAGTTTCTGCTTAGCTGCCTGGGCTGTAGGAACTTCTGCATTGCTCTGGCGTTTCACTATTGGCCAGTGCCTAGAACAGCACCTTCAGTGCTGCTGAGTGACCAGCAGAAACGCAGCCGGTGCCACACCCTGCAGTGAGGGTGAGAGGCAGAGACCCGAGCTCAGCCTGGCAACCATCCTGCAGTGCCATGCAGTTTCAATTCTGCTTTACGAAGCAGCCAAGCCCTTCCACACTGATAGAGCTGCGGGGCAGCAGGACTGGACTGTGAGCGCGCTGCTTGGGGCACCACAGCCCTTGCAAGCTAGATAGTCTTTCTGCTACTAAATCTTTTTTTGCAAATGGAACAGAATACTCATCTCTGGTATGCCTGAGAAGAAGCACTGGTTCCTATACCTAACACACTGCAGTGTTTATTATGCTGATGATTTTATTATTTGACAAGGTTCTTAACTTTTTTTTTTTAAGTATGCCAAATTGATATACTCTGTCCATCAGCAATGCCTTCCTGGAATGAGTAGCTAATTATAGAGCAGGACTTGTGAAAAGACAACCCGTGTTGTGCACAGAACAGGTTTCTCCAGTATTTACTGCCTACATTACTGGTCAAGCTTCCCTGTAAGTAATAGTCAAATAATGGGCCTGGGTCCTTTTGTGAATGGTTTGAGCCTGTGTGGTCCTTCTTTGTTTGAACAGCCCGTGGTTCCTGAAAGCTCCTGCATGCACTGTTCTGAGCAGCAGAGCCCGGTGGTACCAGCTGCTTCTGACTAAAACAAACATTCGCACGTGACATTTAAAAAAAAAAATCCAATTTCAAAAATGTATTTGGTTTTCCTTATTCCCTCATTTTTCAGCCCTTTTTATATCATTGGAAACATTTAGAAAATGAACACATTCAGCTTTTATTAACAAGCTTTTTTTTTTTTAAAAAAAAAGTAAAGCTTGAAGAGCAAAGAGAAATCTTTCCTTCAGAAATAAAGAAGCAGCCAGTGTTTGGAAATACTTTAACAATAGACCATATGGGAGTCCCAAACTATTAAGCTTCATTATTCAGAAGGCAGAAAATGTGGTTTGATATTCAACTGATATACAGCACAAATGAGAGCCACAAACTCGGCTCCCTTGAGCTGGGATTCAGATGTTCTCCTGAATATAATAACTAACACTTTGGCCTAGTTCCATAGAATGCATCCAGCCTGCTGGTCACAAGCCAAGAAACTGTAGGCTCTTTTTTTTTTTGTCTTCCCCTCTCTTCTCCAAAGTACTTTGCTGCCAGCATGAGCTTTTGACCTGAATATAAATTTCCTGATATTAGATGCATATAGAAAATGGGAGGGTGCTAGTAGTGCACAGCAGTGGAGCTGTGTGTGCGTGTATGTGCATTTGGTTTTCCTCAGCTTTAACAATAAAAATGTTTTCTCCCTGTGATGTGCTGCTGGTGGGAACTTCTTTGTTCCTGTTTCACTGTTTGTTTCTTATAGCTTCAGGAGCAGGTGAACATCTTATGGAGTTACTGTGAAATGATGCCAGAGACCATAAGAGTGAAGAATTTGTTGGATAGAGAGACTGGAAGTGATTTCAGTTGTTTCATTGTTATTGTTTTTCCTGATCTGTCTTGTGTATATTTATAATTGTCCTTTTCCCTTTCTTTCACTTCTTTTCACTACTTTTTCACCTATGGAGAAAAGAACCCATAAAAGTTGCTTATAAAACGCTACGTACATGAACTAAGATTGCATGTCTGCAAGGACAGGGAGAAAGTTACCCAGATACCATGACCAAGTATTGCAGGCTGGATCACCTGTTAGGTTTTGACAAAGGATCCCTGATTCCCAGTGCATGGGATGGAGCAGCTTTGTCAGTGTGAACATGGGAGGTGAGAGATGAATAAGGAATTACAGGGGTACAAGAAATGGTCTGGTGGATATGGCAGATGAACAAGATTTTTCTTGGATTTTTGTGCTAAATGTATACTGTGTATAATGTATATCCATGTATATCTTTAAGTAACATTCTGCCCAGTCTTGTGTCAGTCATCCTTACTAGGTTGGCTCCTATCTTCTCCAGCATCTCAGAATCTGAAATCAAGCAAGGAGCCTTCTCCATGGATCTGTGATTTCCCCTGAGTAAGCTGGAAGCTTCCAGCATTAAGTTACCTGGCACTCTACTCTGTAAATGTGATGAACCCAATCAAAACTCTTCACTTTATGTTTAAGTCCAGGATCGCCTGTAATGCAGAACACTACAGAGTATATAAATTATGCAGTCTGCTTGTGAAGTTTAGTTTTGACTTCTGTCTTTCCTCCATTTCTCTTTCCAATTGTTCGTGACAGCTGAAATTTTCCATGTTTTTGTTTCAAGCTATGTGCAGGTTTTTTTCCTTTGGGGAAAACTGCAGCAAAATCAGTGTAGTTACAATTTTCAACCTCCTTTGACTTGCACCTACATCTGTTTGGTGTGGGGAGTGGAACTTTATCATAAAACTGTTTGATTTATTTAATGTATTCAATAAGCATCCAAGGTGTGCCAGGTACTTTCTCAGCCTTTTTGGATGAGAAATCTTGCAAGCTAAGAACTTAATAAACAAAGAAGCTACAGAACTCAAATCTTCGCTGGTGTTAAAGTCTCCATATATCTAAGGAATAAACCGAGTTTGAACAAAGCAGATCCAGAGACTTGTAAGGAACAATATGTCACATGCAAGTACTGATGAGATCTAACATTACAGGAACAACTATCACGTGTCTGAGTTACAACAAATAGTTGAGTCCATACAGCAGCTCTACTTCTGTTGCAACTGCTAGCCTATTTCTATTGATGAATCCATTACTGTGATTACATGATGCTGTCTAAGGCCACATCTAAACAGGGTCATTGATTCAAACCAAGGTAAGTGTATTGGAACTGCTGAGTCACGGCCTGAACCTCTGATTGATCACCTGAGGCGAGCCATGAGTCCGCCAGAGGAGCACAGGTGAAGGCAATTCAATTCACCTGTGCTGCCGGAAGGGGTGGAGCCAGGCTGCACCTCTCCTAGACCTATTGAAGAGCTGGCTACCAGAGGGGAAGGATCTCGTCTGGAGATCCCTCCTTCTGGCGTTTTGTGGTGAGCCCAGCATAAGGGTAAGCCTTCTATTTATTCTCTCTTGTTATCATAGTTCACTTTGCTTAACTCTCTTGTTTATTTTGTGATTGTAACATCTTGATATCCATTGATTATACAGTAAGTTACAAGTCTGAGTGGACAAGCTGTTCCCGATTAACTTCAGCATCCTAACAAAGAGGTGATTGGGAATGATTAATAGGGAATAGCTGTTCTGGAATGATCCTTTTTTAAGACAAACCCTTACTCTTTCTATGATTGCATTCTAGGAAGCTATTCTGTACTGAATCAGCATGGGATAGAGTGCCTAGAAGATGTTCAGACCAAGCACAGCTAGCGGTGAGTGGGGCAATATACACTGGGATGCCCTGTTGCAAAAATGAGTGAGCAAGAGAGTAGCAAAACTGATTGCTTGTGCATCTCTCCAGAAGGCAACTGAAAGTATTCTATCAAAACCACTGTACAAAGGCCTCTCCCTTAGCGGGGTGAAGTATTTGCTACCTATCACAATCTGAGCACTAACCCCATGTTATGGACAGAAAGCATATTTCAGTTTATAACAACTTTAGTTTATCACAACTGAATTAAGTATTGGGGTGTATGCCTTTTTTCATTGTGTATACTTACGATATTATGTGGAGAGCAATCAGTCTACCAAACCAATCTCATTATTCAATTGTGGGAAAGACAATTTGTCAGAGGAAAACTTATTTTTTTAAGGTGGACAGAAAATTCTTTTAGTTCAAAAAACTGTCTTTTTTGAGTATTACTTATACTAACAAACCATTAAATGCTATTAAAAAAGAAAAAAAAGAAAAAAAAGTAAAACCCAATAATTTGTGAAGCCAAAGGAAATTTTCCTTTACCATAACATTTTGTGCTTGACCCTGCCAAAGAGGATGGGCTGGAGCAGAGGTGGTACTTCTGTAATTCAATGCATTGTAGTTGTGATATAGTTGCTGCTAATTCATAGCTCTCCTGACTTTTGGAATTTGTCCTTTCTCTTCAAAGGGCAGGTGGTAGGATGGAATGGAGAACCTTTGGATGTTAATCCACCCCAGCTTTCTTAAGCCTCCTACTTAAATCATTATCTTAATGAATCACCATTGCTGCTATCTTCAATGCTACTCAGGAACTTGCATATTTTAAACAGCCTTGGGGAAAGACCTTTTTGCCTGCAAAGTGCTCTGCTACTTGCATTTAGATGTTGCCAGGATAGGTACCTTGGATACTACTTTCTGCCAAACCCAGTGGATAGATCATGGGGCCTAGTGTATCACCATGTGTGCCTGCCAGGCAGCAATCAGGGCTTGCCTCGGAGAGAGAGATATAACTTTGCTTTCTGTTATCTTTCTCATGGTGTGTTAAAATGCCTCCCAGAAATTCTTAAATAGGGTTAAAAAAAACTTCTCTGATGTTTCTCCCAGCACTTGGCAGCATCTGAGCAGCTACTAAGAAGCTACTAAGAGAAATTGCATCTGAGCACTGTGACTGACAGTGCTGTTGTGAACAAGTGATGAATACAGCAGTACTCAAGATTTTGATCTGCAAGCGTATCTGTCATTAATTTTAAGGGCTTTAGGATCCATGGTAGAAGAGAAGGGAGATAAGCCAAGCAATTATATGGAGCAGCTATATTTGGGGAAGCATGCCTCTTGGGATTAACACAGACTCATGACGTTGTGTAGTGAATTGTGCATCTGTGCAACTGTGCCAAGTCTGACTGATTTTGCAGGGCACTCATTAGAAAGGGGATGCCTGGGAAACTTCTAATGGCTTGGATATTTGCTGGGATGAGCTTGAGAACATTTCCTTGGTTGGGAAGTAGATTTCAATGCATCAATTTTTCTCCCTGCCTGCTAGAAGGAATTATGTACTACCTGCTTGTCTGGTTTGTGGGGCTTCTTGAGCAACAAATGGAGAAAGGAGCTGTGAGCTTCAAGGAGCTGCAAACTGGCATGGGAAGACTTCCGGGAGTGAGGAAGTGGAGATAGCAGGGCCTTGAAAACTCTGAGTTTTGTTTCTCCCAAGTAATATGGGAGAAAAGTCTCCTTGTGGGGAAATTGGAAATGATCTCACAGAGGAATAGGGGATGGAGGAGAAGAGGCCAGAGTTACCTCTCAACATGCAAGAGGGTGTTTGCCTGCTGCTGCTGCATGTGCAGCCCTAAGCCTGGTGTAGCCACAGTACTGAGCAACTGCAGACCAGGAAGTGGGGGGGTATGGGGGTGGAGCATCCTTTGTTGATTTTTTTGGTAGATATTTGACAGTACAGGAGGAGCTTTATTTTGCTGGTTAAGTGGACATTGATTAAATAACCTGCTAAGTGGCATCAAAGATGAACTTAAACTAGAAAAAAAAAAAACAAAACAGTAAGTAACCGCCTTATCACCTTTTTTGTTATTTGTTTTTTAGCAAGGTAAGGAAGGCAAGGTTTGTTGGAAGGTCTTACATAAGAAGGTCAACTAATAGAGTGGCAAAATCAGGTAGGGACATGAGTGAAAAAAATACATTCAATTTATACATAAATAGCAAAGAATTAAGTAAGTGCAAGATGAAGAGACCCGATAAAGGGCAAAACTAGGGAATATTTTCAGGAGGACATGTTCTTCCACAGGCTATAGAGCTGAATACAGTAAAGCGCTGGTTGAGTTAGTTGGTGTTGGCCAGTGGTGACAGCAGGAGCTCAATCAGAACTGGCTCTGTGCTGTGCTGTTCTCTCCCAGGGCCAGAGGGACCACCTGAGCCCCTGGGGAAGCTCCCGGTGAGCACCCCATGTGCAGGCTTTGGTCTGCAAATCAAATCAGAGGTAGTGACAGATGGAGAGCATGTGGTGGGTGGTGGCAATTCTAAAAAATTCGCGTCTGGATAAAAGTGTAATTCTTTAAATTAGACAAAGAAGGCTTCATGTGAGCTGAGGGAAGTTAGGAAGGATCTCGGCATGCATCCTTAGACAGATCAGGGCAAACTGTTTCTTCCACGGCAGTTCCAGAATGCCATTATTTTCCAAGTTCTTTTTCCTACTTTAGGCCCCACATATTTAAAAATAAAAGGATACCCATACATACAAAAAAAAAAAAGCTCCTTTTTTTTAGCTGTCTTGAGTTTGGTAAAAAGCTAAGAGATCTATGGTAGCAGTTGCTGGGGGATGTAAATTTTCCCTTACCATCTCAGCAGAGTGTTTTAGAGCTCTCTCTGACGTGAATCCCCCAAAACATTCTTACAGAGACTGAAGGCCAGCCAGGAGGAAATACTGCACTCTATGAGCCATCAGCAAACTCTCTGGTGTTTACCCCATCTGGTAAACCAAATAGAAACTACCAGTATGGTGCTGTCTGAATTCACAACGTGCTAATATTTTACACGCTATCCAACTCTGATTGCCACATCTCAAAGGTAGTAGAGCATCCAGAGATTGTCAAGGATGGATCTCAGGTCAGGCAACAAGATTTCTTTCTTCACCACAGAAAAGAGATGACTTATTATAGAAATTGCAGCTGTTTTATGCTTTTGTGAGCTGTGTGCGGAAGGAGAAGGATTCTTTGAAGTTCTTGTGTTGTCTTAACTAAGCTGAATCAAAGCAGGCAAGCACAGCACATGCTTTCAAGCAGCAGTTATCATGTGAAACTCATTGTCAAAGGCTGTTATGGACAGCAGAAGTGTAAATGGATGCAAAAATCGATGAAGGACAGATAAATTCTTATTAAAAGTGATGGCCAGGATTCAACTTCAGGATCAGCAAATCTTTAACAATTGCAGAGGATTTAAGCAGGGAAAAGGGTGCCTATACTCCACCTTATCAAAATGCATTGTTCTGATACTATTCTGGCTCCTCCTGAAGAACAGAAAGTGAATCCTTTGCTCTATTACAATATGGCTATTTTTATAGTTAAAAAGTAGAAGGGAAACTAGCCACACTGCAGTGCAGTGAACTAGTTTTGTCTTGCAGCCTAACAGTGCTGAAAAGCACACCAAAATGAAGAGAATTAGCAGCCAAATGCCTCCTGATACCTTAAAAATCTCTCTGTGTTATGAGATGTCTCTGCAGCTTGCTTACTTCATACAATTTCTGACTTAACCGAAAGCTGTCTAGTTAACAAAGGAGTGAGTCACTACAATGTTTCTAGTTATTTTTCCTACCATTGTGTTTGCTGCTACAGTTGATCAGGTTGCCTGACTATGTACCCAATGAGATGCCATGTGGACTCCTGTAGCAGTGACACCTTTGGCTGGAAGCTGAAGATGCTTTGGGGAGCACAGCAAGGAAAAGGAGCAGCGAATTGGGAAGGATATCCTAAAATCTCTTGTATATGCATAAAAGCAGGAAAGTCTAATACAGAGCATATAGTTGTGACTGCAGTGGCAACAGTTGGTATTTTGGAGTTGAAAAAATCAGTTTTGTATTTTGCTAAATAACTACTGTAATATTGCAGTACCTCTTGGCAGGGAAACCAATGTAATGTACAGAACTAGAGCATGGTAGAGCAGTTGGAGAACTGTCAGAAACCCAGCAGCTTGGAATGCTTCTACTTGAACCTGGGTGCACACTGCAGCATGGCATTCCTCTGCCCCAGTGTGTGCAGACTGCAGCACAAGCTGAGCGATGCACCTTACACACAGTGCAACCTGGCTCCACGGAGGAGGGCAACAAGACACTCTAACACAAAACAGCAAGAGTTTCTTTCTTCTATTGAGCTGTGACTCCTTTGGGCAGTTTTGTGATTTCTTTTGCATCTCATGGAGCCCTTCTGAGTCTGCATGCCAGGCATCTTTGGGGCAAAATTCTGTAGCTGTCAGCTGTCATTGCCTGCCACATCCAGTTACCTAGGGGCATCGGGCTACCAGAGAGGCAGCAAACAGCTTGGGCACTACACCAAGCTGCAGGAAAACTGCTTTGTCTGATCTGATTGGGCAAACAAGGAAGTAATGAGTCTCTTTTTTTTTTTAAGTTTGTATTTCCAGAGGGCTTTGGAGCATGGCACTGGCTTTTATTCCAATGTTTAATTGTTGGATAAACTTAGCAGTCATACTTGTGGTTTTTAAGCCTCTCCCCTTTTCCTGCTCCCAGCATTCTCCTTGCCTTCAAATCCTCTGCCTTGTTCCATGTATTGCTACTGTAAATTGCTTGGGATGATGGGTCCAGCTCCTGACTTGCAGTCTCTGGATGCCATTAACAAGTAATTGCTGGGAAAGCTTGTTTAAACGTCAGATCCCTACATTATTTTTTAAATTGCCCTTTGAGGTGGCTGAAAAGCTACTGAAAAATTCTTTTCTTTTAATATTGGACAAGACATTTCATTAGGGAAGGGAAATGGTGCTCTTACCAGGCTGTGTTAAGGC